AAAAATTTATAATATTCTTATTTTTCGTCTAAAACTTATTGTAAATATCAATTTTGAGTGAATAATCTTCAGTAGTTACTAAAATATCGCAGTATTCGTATTTCTGAAAATTACCGTTATATGGGAAGTGGGCGTGGTTATTGTCCAATTTTAAAAATTTTCGGCCATTTAGTATGCTGTATCAAGGCCAACAACTGTGCAAAGTTTTGAATAAATTGATGCAGCGGTTACCAAGATATACACATGTAACCATAAGTGGGCGTGGCTACGCCCATTTTCAAAAAAATTTTAATATTCTTATTTTTCGTCTAAAATTTATTATAAATATCAATTTTGAGTGAATTATCTTCAGTAGTTACTAAAATATCGCAGTTTTTGTATTTCTGAAAATTACCGTTATATGGGAGGTAGGCGTGGTTATTGTCCGATTTTGCCCATTTTCAATTCCATCCGTCCTACGCCCGAAAGAAGTGCACATACCAAGTTTCGTTAAGATATCTCAATTTTTACTCGAGTTATCGTGTGCACAGACGGACAGACGGACGGACGGACGGACGGACAGACAGTCACCGCTTAATCGATTTCTCTTTTCATCCTGATCATTTATGTATACATTTGTCTATATCTATCTCGATTCGTTTTGCCTGTTACAAACAACCGTTATGTGAACAAAGTTATAATACCCTTGTGCACAAGTGCGCTCGGGTATAAAAAGCACTGAGGCCTTAAAGTATACAACATGAAAAGTAGCTCTGCCAGTAAATTTGGCAGTATGAGGAGCATTCAACTAGACGAATCGGCTATTCTTATTGGAGATGTTTGGCGATCAAAATTATCTGTCATCTCGATTAATAAAACTTTGCTTGCGCAGAACACCGAACCTATGCCAACTTTTCTAAACCTGATTGATACGGCTTCAAGGAAGTTACTGAAATCACCTTCTCTGGCGTGCCCACACCAATCGACCTTCACGTAGGTGCGCGTAAGTTCCGCAGTATCGTCACTGTTGCTGCCGCCAGCTTCGTCCCAGCCGGTTGTATAACGGACCCCCGTCCGAAATTTCCTGCTGAAGCGGCTGTTCTAGCCGATGAGCGTGACTACCTTCGTCAGGCCAATCCCGGAAGTCCCCCCATTAGGGATCTCAATACGGAGATTGCGGAAGCGGAAAAAGTGGGAAGAGCATCTGAAGAATTGTAACTATACCTCTGGTGTGAGTAAGCTTTGGTTAACCGTGAGGTTACTATCCAATCCGACGAAGTGCGAGTTCGATAATGGCGTCTGGGAATGGAATTGATCACTTGTGCTCGAAAGTAAACGGTTACCTCTCCGAGCCTCCCGCTCCCCTAAAAAGACCTCAGCTACCTTTTTTACCACCTGGACGAAGGAGGTAAGACTGCAGCTGGGTATTCACGTCGATGCCAAGCCAATTTCGATGAAAATCCTCGGAGTTACCTTCGGCAGTCTGTTCTCTTTCTCTGCGCACACAACCGCAATTGTCAATAAACTGCAAAGCCGCAACAAGGTCCTCAAGTCGCTAGTCGGCAGCACCTGGGGCAAAGACGAAGAAACGTTGATGGAAACAAACAAGGCAATTAGCTGGCCATTTCTAAACTACATAGTGCCAGTGTGGTCGCCGGGGATCAGTAGGACGCAGTGGATGAAGCTAAAGACTACACAGAATACAGCACTCCGGACAGCGACCGGATGTCTTTTGATGTCGCAACAACATCATTTACATGACGAGGCGCAAATGCTCTCCGTTATGGAGCTCTTTACAATGCTCTGCAAGCAATTCTTAGTAGGGAGCCACAGACACCTGAACAGGCACTTGCTTGCAGAGGCGTCTATACGAAATGACGGGCGAAGTCCAGAGATTCATAAAGAAACCTCTGGACCCGACTGCATATCGACAGGCCTTGAGCGGCATTCGCAGGGAGTCGGTCTCAATTACGTAGACTCCAGACCTGTGAATGCCGTTCTGGACACACAACCATCTGACGTGGACGAGACAGAGCTTCATGTGCCTCGGCTACTGCGGCAGGTTGAACTCGTACCTGTGCAGACTGGATGCAGATGTGCCCCATGAGTGCCCGCCATGCGGAGAGACACCCGACGACTCGAAATATCACTTCGCATGCCCACTAAACCCCACTCAACTAACGCCTCTGTCCCTATGAAGGGAATCTATAGAGGCTGCACGTTTCGGTATCCCGTTAGTTGAGCTTGGCGACAAGGATTGAGGGCCTAGCCAATCTGGACGGGGTTGTTGTAGCCGCTACAACAACAACATGATAACTTAAGAAACTGTGCACTCTTTCGCTTTTGAGCAATTTTTGATAATTCAATATCTTGTTTTTTTTTCCTTCAAGACAGACAAGTTTTGAGCATTTTACCACTATTAAAATTAAATAAAAAGTAATTGCTTGCGTCGGCGTTGCTTTATTAAGATAAAAAACGGCTTAAAAAAACAAAAACAACGATTTAATAATTTTGTGAATGAAAGGAAGGAAAATATGTGCGTGGCTGGCTAATCGCAGGACGCGAAAGGTCGTTGGGCTTAGCCGAATGTCAGTGACACATACATGCGTGCATACATATTTACTTCTTCCATTGCAGTACCTGCAACACACTTTAACTATTTAAGTATGACTGATAAGTCAAATTTAGGATAACAACAGCAATTAGGATCACATCAAGGTATTGCCTTGATGTATGTGTGTAGTACATATCTGTGTGTCTTTGTCCAGACTGGTTGCACGCTCGCTGCCAGAGGCGCGGTCATTTTGAAGTGTCTAATTGATTTCACAGCAGGTATACACGAAATAATTGGTACAATACATTGTGGCACATTCTAGCAGATGAGTGAGTAGCGTCCGTAAACAGGTACATCGGGATACATTTGCTGACGCCGCACCGGCCGCACACACACACACACACACACCATGCCGGAAGTAAATATCGGAAATTGCTTGTTATCTTTGAGAATTTATTGCTTTACAAATTGCTTGAAAACTAAAACCCTACAATTAAGTTAGTTGAGTTCGCAGTCCGTTTATTTTAGACGCCTTAGACAATGCCGTCGGTTGGCACGCAACATAATCGCTTAGACATTTATGACAATATCTTCTCGAATGCGTATATTCATTTACAGCTATATTAAGAAATGCATTTCATATGCACTCTACTTGCAGCTGCCTTTCCCATAACCCGTCGCATTGGCCATCCATATCAAAATCGTACACCACCAAAGCGGAAAAAGCCCCGCACCTCTTTCACACGCATTCAAGTGGCTGAACTGGAGAAACGTTTTCACAAGCAAAAATATTTGGCGTCCGCGGAACGAGCGGCATTGGCGCGCGGCCTTAAGATGACCGATGCTCAAGTTAAAACCTGGTTCCAGAATCGTCGCACGAAGTGGAGGTAAGTGTATCGTTTTAAAAAGTAAATTATATCGTTTAACAAAAATTTGCGTCATGACGAATGACTTTGGCCTTTAATTTTGATTGAAAGGGGTATTGAAAATGTAGTTCGAAAATTTTCTTTTTATACCAAAATGCAAAAATTTTTATGGTAAAAATATGCCACAAAGTTATAAAATTTGTCAATGCTCGCAGCACCGCTCGCAGTTGTTTTATTATAGTATCTTATATTATATACGCGAATGACAGCTTTAAATCGAATTCATATGTATGTATGTAGTTATAATTGCCAACAGTGACGTGTGTACCAAAACGCGAGAACTTTCATGTGTTGCCAGGAGGTCTCTAACGGCGCAAAGAGGTTCTAACCAATTTTGACTAAGCTGAACGTTGTGCTCAACGTCACTCTACAAAGCAATATTAGTTTTGCGACAATTCGAAATTTAGACCTGGCGACGTACAGGCAGCTAAAGTCGACAAAAAGATGAGTTGTGCCGATTTGCTTCTTTACTGTCTTCTGCAGGATTTAACGTGCTGTGAAAATCTGGTCAATGGTCTTGTGGATTGGGTAAAGTACACTGAGTATCCAAACAGGCGCCCGACCAGCTCTACGCCGCCGGCTTTGAACAGCTCAGCCGTTGGCTCCGGAAGCCTTGTTGTTTTTAAGCCGCCATATTGCTGTTCTCACCTCGTCTTGGTCAAGTGGAGGAACGTGAGCTCCGTCCCTATACATTGGTGCGGGTTCTTCTTCTTCAAACGCGCCACCCGTGTTGCCATTCAGAAGCGTTGAGAAGTGTTCCCTCCTTATCTCAAGTGTATCAAGTGTACTCTGGACATCTGTTACCAAATTTCCTTGAAACCATTTGATTGCTGCCTTATTCTCTGATAGAATTTTCGAGTCGCACTCCTGTCTGCCGGCATCTCAAGCTCTTCGCATTCACTTATTTCTGCCTCTCGTTTCTTTCTCTTGAAAAGGCGTCTATCTTCATTCCTTTTTTCCCTGTATCGCCCAATTGTCGCGCGTGTTTTTCCGCAGCAGCTATGCCGCAACGGTGCGAAGTAATTGGGAGATGAAGTTCCAATACTCATTTATGTCTAGGCCATGAGGAATTGCTTTATTAGGCAGGATTGAGAGTCGATTGCTACATTTTTCGGATGTCCGTTGTGACTGGAGCTTTGCGTCGACGAACTTTTTCCGCGTTGCCTGACGCTCGTTTTTATTGCACAGAGAGCATGCGGTCCTTAGCGGCAACTCATCCGTGTCTTCCGGCTATCACAACATGATCAATTTGGTTCTTCGTTCTTTGATCAGGGGGCACCCAAGTAGATTTGGGGATGTTTCGATGCTGTTGTCTGGTACTACTAACTACCCTTGCCCGTGTCGTGGCAAAGTCGATAAGCCTCTCTCCGTTGTCGGAGATGTTGTAATGAAGGCCGACCCTGGCGTTGAAGGCGTCAAGCACGATTTTAATATCGTGGCGGGGGCAGCGGTCATACGCCTGTCCCATATGCTAACAGAAAAGCTCCTTAGTCTCATTGTTCTTCTCTTTCGTCAGGGTGTGCAAACAAATTATGACTATCTTATTAAATTTTACCTTTATGGGGATTGTGGAAATTCGCTCACGGATGGAGGTGAACCAGGAGATTAATTTGCCTTTAAATAAAAAAAAGAGCCTCCGAAATCGGTTAAGAATTTGACGCTCAACGCTATTTTGAACCCTACCAGACCAGTGCACTATGGGCCAGCAGCTCATCAAAAATGGCAAACATAGGAATCCATTGATCGATTTTAATCAGACTTCGACATAGGGGGATTTGGGCTTGCTGATTACGAATCTGAAATCACGTTTGAAAAATTCAACTTGGCGGATCCAATAAGCCGGATGACTTAAACAAAAAAACCGTTATATTTTTACGAAACTATCCATAGGGAGGTTTTTGGAGTAGTACGAATCTAAAGTCAGATTTTGAAAATTCGAATTGACATTTTGTATGAGAAGTAGGGTGGATGTTAGACTGTTTCTCGAGTTTATGCTAAAATTAAAAATTTCATCCAAGTCACGTAATTTTTAGTGTTTGGGAGAAAATTTTGTGGCAATGTTTCAGTCAACCAATCTTTATCATATTTAAGATTTATGCGTTTGTAGAAGAAGAAAAAGTAATCTTTAAACCACATTTAATCAAAATCGGGTGATTTTTTACATATCCCTCACAAGAATAAAGAGCCTGTCTTTACGATATTTCACATTTTTCTTTTGCCAAGTAAACTAGTTTACTATTTTTGTCTACCTCCCTATAAACTCTACTCTCTACTCTTGTAAGGGCACTGATATTTTCTTAGCCTTCAATTGATGATCGCTCATAGAGACTATGAAGATTAGATGGCATTTTGGGCTGGGGGGCCGCCAATCTAAAACATCGGTGTCCTTTTGATGTAGCCAATTTCGGGTAAACTAGGAGTAACAATAAAAATATTGATCGAGAACCATTATGATAAAATAATCCCTTAACATAATTGGAAAAGTACCGCACCGAAGGCAGTGGATTTCCTTTTATTTTGATCACAATCATAAATATTCACCAAGGCTTTATTACACCTTTGTGCTTAAGCAATCAGTATCATTAAGTTATTAAGAATGAAGTTTGTAAAATTGTATTAAAGAAAAGCTAACAACAGCGTTAAAATTTTTCAAAACAAAATCCAACCAAATACTCGCTCATAACTAACGTTGATTATTTTTTTGCAGTTGCCAACAGAAATGACAAAAATAAAATGAATCGCACCGCTATTTAATATGTACGAGCGTACCTATAAAATGAAAAGTGTAAAATGAAAATAGGCATTTTAAAAATTCATGAACACATTAAATGGGAAACAATGGCAAACGCCACATCTCAATTTGTTTCAAGCGACCGTTTTGCCACTTTTTTTCTACTTTGCTGAACGCTTGCTTTGCTACTCCACGCAAGAGTTTCTCAACTTATTCGATGGCGAGGGGTGTGGGAGTTGAAACGCTCGCTTCTGAAAGTGAGTACAAATTTGTGCACAATTTTTGTTGAAGGCGTGTGAGTAGGCGGAGGAGGGTAGTTATGGCTTTCAACGCTTCCATTTGCAACCCTCAAAAATTCAAAAATACGAGTAGAAAGAAAAAAAAAAAACAAAACAAGTAAAATGCCACGGAAAAAGGGCTTACAAATGGCGGCTAAAATGTAGTGCATAGTACATAATAATTTCATGGCATTACTGGCGTTACGAAAGCACGCACAACCACATTTAGGGCTTACGTTGGAAAATCACCGATTTTGAAAAGGCTAAATTATTTAATGTGGGCAAAAGTGTTTAATGCAATGCATAGCAGGATGATTATTTATGTATGCGTTTGGAATGGTTTGGACGCCTACTAATTTTTTTTTGGGGTGGGGGGGGCGAGATTTAACGCAGTCCCTTCTCAAGCAAAACGGTAAAACCTAAGAAAAAAGGGAAAATTTGTTGAAAGACATCGATCAAAGAAATGTTGGGTACTAGTTCGGAAAATAACAAAAAAATAAAATAAAAAATAAATAAAATAACTGTTATTGCATAACAACGTAAATATGCTAAAATTAAACAATTATAAGTTTGTGCATTTGTATGTATGTTTGACGACGAACGGTGCGACGAGAGCGCTTGTGATACAGCGACTAATGCGGTAAGCAAACACATTAACATTTTAATGGCCAGTGTTCACTTAATCGTCGCATTTACAGAGGAAATGGCCGCTGATTACAATGGTGGACATTTTTTCCCCCCATTTTATTCCACAGGCCTTTGTATGTGCATAGCTGTTTATTTACTTTTTTTCAATTATTATTTGTGTCACCCTGCCTCATTTCACATTTCACTAAATTATCCCCTTGGACTGTTCGAGCTTAATTTGTAGCTCATTAATTTCTTTTGTATGACATTAAAGCTATGTGGGCACTCGGCTAAATTACGCCATGTGTATGTTTGTGGCACGCAATTGCTTTAAATTTCTTGATAAATTCATTGTTTGCATTTGATTGGGAAACTTTGTTTTTCCTTACTGCTTTTTTCTATTAAAAAAAAAATCATTAGATTATGCATTTGACACAGGTAGTTAACGGTGACAGCTGTCATCAAGCAGGAGTATTGCATGTTTGCTCACTTATGTATGTATATGTTACATTAGAAACCATTATATTTTCTAGCTCGATAGTGGTAAACTTAACTAAACTTTTACTTTGCATGTGTCGCCACAATATTGCCGCTCATGTTGGCGCATTTGATTTTGTATGTATTTTTTTTTTGTTTCTGCTTTTTTTGTTAATAAATTAAGTGTATTTAACATGCAAGCAACTCCGCAAAACTACGGGTTGGCACGAGTAAATCAGTAAATCACAACAATTCGAGATATTGAAGTGATAGTTGGAAATAAATTGCCGGCACTTTCAATTAATCGCCGCACAAATTTCTTGATTCACTGAATAGTAAAACTACATAAGTATAAGTGTATGTATGTACATACCAATATAAATACATAACATAATCTCACTCATATGTATGTACATGCATATTTTCAACTTTGTATGCAAATGTTGCGTGCAAATTGCACATTACAAAACATTCGATTAGTTTCAATTTTATTGTATTTTTTTGTGTGCGAAATTAACTTTTCAATTAAAGAAATAAAAAACCGCAAATGATTATAAAAGCGTGGATTTATATCAATCAAATGGGTAGCTTTTCATCGATTTCATTTATTATACCTACATACATACATACATACATATATGCCTATATATATATCTACATACATTGATTGACATAATTAGCTAATGATTATGGACAAAAGTTAATTGAAATTAAAATTGAGTTCATTAAAATTTTTGAAATTCTATTTTTTCAAGGAAAAATTTCCACATTTAATTGTAATTGACATACATATTAATGTTACGACATATTTGATTATTTTTAAAGTAGCATTAAAATGAAGCATTTAA